CCCACGCCTCGCAGCAAACATCGTTAATGAGACGAGCGAATAAAATTAAAAGAATTCTGTACAAAATACTATATAAATTTGTACAAATTAATGTTGATTTTTATAATATTTAACATGTTTTGGAATAAATTTCGGTATAGCGAATTGTTTTTTCGGATAAGATAAAGAAATCTGTGTTTCGCATTTTCAACACGTGTTTCTTAGTGGGTGGTGCATCTGCATTCTTTTTTTTCTAAATGAAACATGATCTTATACACAACAGGTCAGCGGTTTTTATACAAACCGAATATATTATTACATTTGGTCACTAATAACTTTAATTAGCCGAATTAATATGAGATTTATTTATTATGTGTTGCAGAAAGAACAAAATCTTTCTGATAAAATATATATACATACATCGGGTTTCAAATCGAGCAGTTATTTGACATAAAAGAAATAAGAAGACAAATCTTCCAAATAGGTAAAAAGCATTTGTAATATTTACTGCTGAGTCGTTTAAGTTACGGAGAACAGAACAGAAAAACAATGATGCTGATAATTTAGCAGGCGTAGGACATCTTTGGTGGTCAAACCGTCAGTCAGTTAAGACCACCTAGACAAACTAAAATCTCTCACAAAAACTCCAAAGTAAATCGGACCACCCCTCGCAAGAAACTATTATATAGGTTTTCAATTTTCTTAGTTTTTTCTTAGTACTAATTAACGGGCATATATTTTTTATGTATGACATTCATCCTTATACTTTATGCCCCATCGTGTTATTTTGTTTCACAATACAGTCCAATACATTGTATTTTATGATCTCTTTTAAAATTAGCACATTATGTTATGTTAGCTTGACGTAAAAGTTTTAACATGTGAAAACATTATGATCAACAGAACCCTGTCCGAACGTTAATTACGCGCTGTCACGGATCAAAACACTGATTAATTGGTCTCCATCATTGATAATAAAAAAATGACAACGACCAAGCAATGACCTTTTTGTAACGAGTATCTGTCGCTCAGAACTGCATGAGGGCCGATTTGCTTGACAACTTCAATCTGTATGCAATTCAATGTATACACATTCCATGTATGAATGATCGATAATAAAGTCATATACCAATTGCCTTTCAAACGATCGCGATATTAATATTATTGGAGATACAGTTTCAGTCCTGATTTTTTAATATTCAGAGTTAATTCCAGTTCATACGAAATGGCTGAACAGTGTTTATAAACATCAAATTTAAGTTGATACTTAAATGTTGCCATTATAAAATTACAATGGATACGTATAATAATAATTAATTAAAATTTGTCAAAAATATATCTAGTTATTACAACATATTACAATTAGTACGTCACAGATGGCGCCACTTGAACATTTAAAACTAGTTTCCTTACTAATAAACAATAAATAATCTTCGTTTGATATCTTTGAAGTTATAATAAAGCAGATTATTCATTAAAAAAATTACTGTCAATGTTTCAAGATGTACATCCTCGTGGGTGGCTCTTGACAGATGTTTCCGAAATTTCTTGAAAAAAAATCATTTCAATTACGAGCCAGGTCATTAGAGATTTTGTATTCATTACACATCTCATGAATTTTAATGGAATAAGCGGATAATTAGATAAACATGCATTGAATACAAATACGAAATTTGAAAAATATTAAAAATATTATGTATGTAAAATAGCTTAAAACAATAACTATGTACTTATTGATTCATTATTATTTCTTACCTTAGTTTAGTTTAAGTCATCTCGTAAAAGAATTTTATAGAAAAACTAGTTTTTGCCCGCGACTTCGTCCGCGTTAGTTTGGTCAAGAGTAATATATGTGGGTATGGCTGACCAGTCGAACTCTATTCCCTCTTACAGGCCATAAATAATCAGGTTTTTCCTATTTCAATCAAACAGAATGATTGACATATTAGTTAGTTGTCAAATCTAATGTCAAAAAAAACGTTTGTATGGGAAATAGAAAAGGGCTGTTTTTAAGGTTTTCCCGGCAATTATTCCAATTTTTCTCACCTTTTAAACCTTCCCTGGACTTTCAGGAGTATTTCAAGACTAAAATTAGCCAAATCGGTTCAGCCGTTCTCGAGTTTTAGCGAGACTAAGGAACAGCAATCCATTTTTATATATATAGAAGATAATATTGTCAATAAATTTTCAGATGACATTAATGCTCTTAGTGATAATTAAAAAAAAAATGTATATTAGAACATGGAGTATTTCAATTAAAAATACTTGATAACTTTATTATAAACATTAGCTTATACTAGTAAGTAGTAACTGAGCGGGCGAGTTCTTTGTTTATCGCTTCAAAGTCTCCTTAATTTATTTGCCTATCTACCTACAGGCTAAATACTCTTTAAATTCATACCTCATGTTATGAAGCATAATAAAAAAATATAACGTGTATATTATCACAAATCTTAATGAACAGAAATTGGAATCCCCTAATATCGAATTATAAAATTAAGATATACGAAAACGTTAAAGTAATAATTAGGTCCGCTACCATGGTGGCGCGTTTACTTGAAAATAATAATGTACCCAATCGCCGCAGTAAATTACCCGACTCGCAATAATTCGTCAATAGCCTGTTATTAGCTCCGGGACAGTGCAAACAAACGGCTTTAATGAAATGTTTTGACGTATTAGTTCGACCACCGAGGATGAATGCTGTCGTTTGACTGCACCAGAATTATAAGCCACTAATTCAGATTGAAATTAGGGTTTTAAATGGCCTTATAACATCTGTAGAGGTACATAATGATCCTTATCCAGGGTGGCCCAATGGTTAAAGGCCCGCCTCTCGTGCACGAGGGCGCGGGTTCGATCCTGGCAAATGCCAATGTAATTTTTCCCAATCATATGTACTTTCTAAGAGTATTTAGACACAACTGACTGATGGTGAAGGAAAACATCGTGAGGAAACATGGACTTATAGTTTCACAATTATAAGTTTGAAATCACCGACCCGTCTTGAGCAAGCATGGTGAATTAATGCTCAAACCTTCTTCATGTAAGAAAGAGGCCTTGCTCAGCAGTGGGCTCTGATAAGCTGATGACGATGACATAATTATCCAATGTTTACAAGCTGAAATGTACTCATAACGTTTTCAGTAAAATATTTAGAAATAAAAATATAAATTTATGTAGTTTATTAATTAAAATGTAGATTACTTGATAACTTCACATATATAAGGTTCAATTAAATTTGAAACGCTTCAAATGTAAAGTTACATTTAAACCCTTCTAAAGGTATGAAAACTGTGCATCTGTTTGTTGCTGTCTCATGCAAAAAGCACTGAACGGATTTTGATTAAACTTCACAGTGATATAGCTTAGACATCAGAATAAGTCATAGGATATAATTTATCTCAGAATTCTGGTCAATTGCAACAAGAGTAATAAGGTATAATTGTGCTTAATCCAAGTTTTGCGTCGTCACACTACTTAGTACATACGGAGCGTTAAGTTTTTCATTCCTACTTAGGTTATTGAATGAGGTACAAAAGCAATACTATAGTTGCATTGTGTGTGAAAATATATTTCTATATAATACAGAATTTGGTTACGAATTCGTGGAAAAGAAGTAGTCTTATATTTTTTATTAAAAAAATATCAATTACGAATTTGAAATATTAAAGCTATTTTGAAAAAACTAGTTCTCGTTTTATTCTATATAGACACAAATAGAATACCACTTTTTATATTATTAATAAAATATATTGGTATTATTTATCTAAATAAAACAAAACATATTTATATAAATTTTTATTTGTACATACATAGGTAAATGGCGCGTCTTTTAGGTACATCAACTTATCTTAAATAATAATAATATCACTGGATATAAATAAATGGTTCGACATATACTCCCAAAACTTATATACATTTATATTTACAAAATATTTATTAATATTGTTCTTATTATATCTAATAATAATTATTAAAACGTAGGGAAGTTTGTTAAAATCAGATATACTTTGATATAGATATTTAGATTTAAATGATTTTCTCTTAATATGTGAAAGAACTAAATTTTTCATTATATAATTCTATATATATCTCTTTTTTAATTAATATATTCCATAGCTTCATTCGCACTGGAGTCGTGGAATATTTTGCCAATGTAAACTCAATATCTTCTTATAGTTTCTTTTGAATTATTTAGAACATATTGAAAATTTGTCTCGAAATTAATAAAATTCACTCGCAGTTTACAATTTTGTTTTTTATATATTCTGATCAAAGTGATTTTAAGATTCGAGTTGGTTATTTACAAAAAAATATACAAAATCTCTGCCCCTACCACGATCTCTCACATCGAACCAAACACATATAGCTTTTATATATCCTTTATAAGAAGTCGTACGTGAAACTATCAATGTAGAGTATACGAATGGAAAACTTTACTATCTGTATTAAGTACGACATGCAAACCCGTGGTAAGGGCACTTTCTTTCCATATTCTGGTAACTGTGAAGACAATTTCTAAATGGTAACAATATTATATAAGCATTTCTTATTATTATACTACGTAACTTAAATAAACCTTAAACAATTGGAAGACTATACGATTTTGCTGTATAAGGCACGCAGAATTCAGTTTCATTATAATCTACTTATCTATTAATAAAACATACAAGTTGAATTAAATTTATTAATATGAAACGACAGACAGTGTTGCTTATATAAATATATTAAATATCTACTGGCACTTAGTGCTTACATTTACGAAATAAAAAAAAAAATCTGTCAATATATTGGACGTAAGTCCGATTTAATGAAATACTGCCTTAGATGTCATATAAAATTTACAACACTATTTAAATATTAAGGAAGACTAAAACTAGAATGTCGTTCTAAAACTATACATAATATTATCACACTTTACTGACCTAGCTTTACATAATGAAACATAGGAACTAATCACTCACTCAGCTAGCGATAATTAAATTAATATCACAGATATATGTTTTGTTACTTATTAATCACCATGGACGCCAGGGTTTTTCCTCTGGCTGTCTTCTAGTGACTAACGCGAGAGGCGCTTGTTCTTCTAAAGGTGAAGGGCTGCCCCAGCCAGAACTAGCGGGTGACAAACATCTAGCTTCCGATGAAGCAGAGGATATTTCGCGAGGTGATAGCGGTAGTAATGTAGGAACGGCTCCCAAAGTACTAGCGCTTACACCCGCTGGTAGAACTAACGCGATATCCCCGTTAGATAATCTTGTTGGCACTAATCGGACACCAGAACCCGGGCCGGCTGAAATATATAGTACATTATAGACATGTTCATGTAAATATTGGAGTTAAATGAATCTAATATTATTCGGATTTGTTTGCGTATTTTATACGGGCGGATGAGATTTGAATGTCTGTCAGTTGTTCTTGTTATGAATAATAAAGTCACCAAAACCTCGGAATTACGTAGTTTTTAACAGAAAAAAAAATACACTTACTAATCCCCAAAAATATAAACATTTAAATGAATACTCGCTAAAGTCTTAGATCATTATTTAATTTGAGTTATCCATGTATATACCTGATATGAATATCGTAGAGTGTGTTGTATCATCGACATCAGACGGCGGGGTCGGAGCTGTTAGCGGTCTGTTAACATTCACACAACCCTCCAAATGCTTCACCAGGCGACGCTTCAAACCTGAATCCAAGCCCGGGAACTTGGAAACTTCAGACAGACAATGTCTATAACCAGCTTTGAAACGATCCGGCGAACCGGCGCCTTCAGATCGCAAACCTTCCAAATGTTTCACAGTCATTTCCAAAATATCCGCCTTCTCTAATTTCGAATGACGCGCCGGCTGTAACAAACAAAATCTTATTATAATGAGATCTAAGATTTTCGAGTACTCATTTAAATGAAACTAATATTTTCGGATTTTACTTTTGATTATAAACTACATAATCCCGACGTTTCAGCTACTTTTCAGCAACCAAAATCGATGGCGGTAGGAGATAACATAACCAGACCAACTGACAGACACTCACATCTCGTCTGCCCGTGATCACGGTTACTGAAAAGTAGCCGAAACCGCGTCGGGAGAATGTAGTTTATAATCAAAAATAAAAACGCGAAGTAAAATCCGAAAATATTAGTTTCATTTAAAGTCTTATTATTTTTAACATTCTTATAATTTAAAATTAACAGAACTGTTTAAATACTTACGTCTTTCTTCATTGCATCAAGTATCAACGCTTTCAATTCATTCAAGCAGTTGTTAATACGCGCTCGCCTCCTCTTCTCCATAATAGGCTTGTTACTCTGTAACAAACAAAAAATATACTGCAAAATGCCAGAGTATTGTATAAAATAGTCAATTATAAAACATCACTTCTTATACAGTTTCTATAATCGATATCTACCTACTATTAAGAGTTGAATGATTGAATATTAAATTTTCTTGAGCCGTAAAAGCGTACCAAAATAATACATTTATGAATAAAAATATTACATTACTAGCTTTCCGCCCGCAGCTTCGCCCGCTTGGAGTTCGGTTTTATTGCATTTCCGAAAGAACCTTTCAAAAGTCTGGGATAAAAACTATCCTGTTCTTTTTCAAGGTCAACTCTATCTCTGTACCGAATTTCATTAAAATCAGCTGAATGGTTTAGGCGTGAAAGCGTAACAGACAGACAGAGTTACTATCGGATTTATAATATTAGTAGAAAATTAGAGATAAGTTATTAGTATATGCACAAACAGTATTCGCATCGTAAATCAGATTCCATTTAGACCGTATAACTCAAAATTCTTGTAACGGTTAGCTTCCTTATAATAAATAACTTTTATGAATGGCACTTCACAGCTAAGGCCAATTCAGTATGTCATATGTTATATTGTAGACAGATTGTAGTCAAACGCGTGACAACAGCCTAATCTGCGATAATGAGCGCGTGCGGCCGATCTCAAGGTGAAGGCCGGGACGATGCGTCACTAACGACTAGACACGTGACGATTTGTGTTATAATATACAGTTATCACGAGTTTGAATAAACGAAATAAATACGGACAGTTTTCAGTTTTTTCGACGATTAAATCGACTTTCGTGTGATGATTTAGTATGAAGAACGTATAACTACAGTTTGACGAAGCAAATTCGTAAACGCACTAGTTAAAGTGTAAGCTATTGGTTTAAAACATTTTGATATTGTTTTTTTATGCTATGGCTTAATTTGCACTGGAATCGTCGAATATTATGCGAATAACAACGTTTTTATTTGTTTGACGAATTATAAGTATTAAATTATTATCAATTGTATGAGACACGTAATGTCACTTTTGACATGTCATTTGACGTTTCAAAAAACTTTCCGATGTTGACGCTTCGCATTATTTGTGTTACGTTTTGTAATATTATGCAATTAATTTTGTATGATTAGTCATAATTCATTACCGTTCTGTAAAAATAAACATAAAGAGATACCGCATTGTTTATCACACGTAAAACTAAAAAATTAATTTGGATCGTTTGTATTTAATATCCGAATATAGTTGTAAATTATAAAATAAATACCATAATCGCTATAAAAAACACATTTTATAGTGTTTAGGCGTGTTCAAGGCATCATGAATTCGTTTAAAGGTGCAACAATGTTGCGTTTTAAGAGCTTACAATTTTACAACAGTTTTTATATTACACTGAAGCTGAGCATTGAAATATAACAAATGACATATAAAAAGACGATAACATTGGTGCTTGGTAGCATGTGAGCACGTTGAATGTCAGGTACAGCGTGTCTTATCAGTTGATACTTCAATGAGCAATTTAAATTAAACGTTTATCTCGATGGCCGCCGGCGTTCAGTTCATAAAATAAACGGCGCACACGTCATATGTATTAAATGAATTGCATGTTTCGTAACAAATTGCTCACCCGAATGATTATTATGAAGATATTTATTTTTCTATGTGTTTTTAAACGATTTTTACGTAATATATTTAGTTATCAGCTAGAACAAACTTCGCTGAACATGTTGATATCGTATTACAATATCGGTCTCCTAATACCCACAGCAGGCTAGTCCTTGTAGCCAAATGACAGAACAATACAGTTTTGAATACAATGAAGATTAACAGTGCCGTGTTATCTGTTTGTACATAAAGACTATTATTAAAACGAACTGTATTTGATTGTGATTAGACGAAAACATGCAACAGGTCGAAAATATTGTTCGCAATTTTAAAAGTACTTAAATATTTATGATTGAAAATAATTTTGAAGTGTAGTCTTATGACAAACGGATAATAATAGCTTGAAATCAACAAAATCTATACCAAAATGCAAAGAAAATAAACCGATATATTTCTTTTCCGAAAACGTGTATGATAGGCCTAATATCTTGAATCATCTCATATGATTTCTTGTTAGTCTTACTGCTGACCATCTTTTCATATAAGAAGGTCGTTCAAAAACGGCAACTCTCAAATGATTCTCATGGCATCTACTTCCTTGGCTAATGACTGTAGAATGACGTGAGTTATTATATAGCAAATTACTTAGAGAAGATAAGGAAAAAAATATAATAACCTTCTATAACAGCGATTTATTTGAAAATTTTGTAAAACCTTATAATGCGATTCGCGAATATTCATTTAAAATAAACTAATATTTTCCGACTAAATATTCTATTTATCATTTTAATCAAGTATCACGGTTGTTTGAAAGTAACCGAAACGTCGGGAGTACGTAGTTTTAAAAATAATGAAATAACAATCCGTTAAAATTAGTTTCATATGTAAATCTATTTTCCATATACTGAGTTTAGTTTTGATATAATAGTATATATGTATGTAGTATATGTACATATATTCTAGTTGGCCAGACACTTTACATAACATGTCACCTCAGAATTAGTCGGCGCCTGGCGCGGTACACGTGCGTCTGGGAATTACAGTGACACATATTGTTTGTCTCATGTCTGTACTGTACGTAGCGTGATTATATACACGAATATTTGACAACGGTCCAACTGTATTCTATATATGATATAGAACTTATATAATATATAATTGAATTGTTTTATGACATTGAAATAACAAATAGAATTTAACTTCATTTTACTAATTAGACGGACACTAACAAGTTCGTGTAATACCATGGTGAGTAACACAATTATAGCCACTACTGATGATATATCTCTATAAAGAACTATATATGTATATCTTTATATATATAATTCTTCTTTGGGTGTGTATGTCACTGAACTTCTCTTAAACGACTCGACCGATTTTGATGATATTTTTTGTGTCTGTTCAAGGGGATCTGGGAATGGTTTAGATTCACAATTTTGTCAGCTGGACAATGTTTTTTAATTAATTTTTAATTTATTAGTAGTTGTTGAAATATCTCAGTGATATAAGTAAGGCTACATATATGTATATATATTTCTAAATAGTATAGTATATGCATAATACAGCTACAGGTTACAGTTTGCTCTATATAATCTCATTCTCTCGTATTCAATACAACGTTTAGTACTAACAGCACCCGAAATATCTCTCACGTTGGCAGAGTCGCGTGTAGTGGTCGCGTGCCAACGAGTGGGCGACTGTACTTCCGACACGCGACGTATAATATTATTGATATCCATTCATATATAACTTATATGTAATAAATGTTTCATTCACTAACATAATAAGAATTTAAATGAAACTAATATTTATCGTACTACGCGTGGTTTATTCTTGTTAAAAGTATATACTCACGACGTGAGCAATCTTGCTGAAAAGTAACCGAAATATAAATATGTATTTTTTACAAAAATAATGATGAAATAATGATATTAGTTTCATTTAAATGTATACTCGAAAGTCTTTAATCTCATTATAATAATAATATTGTTATTTTATCTATATACGTGTATAGATATACCGTTCGTGGGCGTCGCCGACGCTGCGTGGGCGCTGTCTTTAATCCTACCTGATGTTAATCGCTCGATGATAGATCGTTCGCCTTCTGCTAATAACTTCCTGCACTCACACCGTACACATTACGAGCGCCGCTTACTAATCATATAAATATCACACCGTTCTATCTGTCTGTATGTGAATCACGTATACTTTATAGTATAAACGACGTAATTTGTAACGCTGATATTAAAGCAATATAAATATATATTTTTCATATATTTCATATTATAAAGTATTTTCTGTGAATCATTTGTGTAACACGGACTGTGTAAGTGAACGTGGGCGTTATTCCCACGACAATTAGCCCACGGATGCCCACTCGCCCACCAACGCTTCGTGACTCAGGCTCAGGCCAGTCTATTGATGTAATTATATTTGACCACTTATCTGTGATTAATTATTATAGATGAAAAAACACGGGTGGCAATTCCGTATCTGATTTACAATAATAATTATTACATACATGTGAAATTTATTATATACAATAATTTAAATACATATACATCGCCTACGTATAACTTTGTATGACTTAAAGATCAACAAAGAGAATTAAATAAAATCAATGAATTTAGAAACAAAATAGTAAACCAGTTTAAATATATAAAAATCATTAATTTTCCTTCAATATCCTTCGATTCGATTTATTTGTGAAGCAAAGGGTTTCAGCCTTCAGGCGACTTCAAAATATGAAGTTATTAAATCGTCTGTATTTTAAAATATTTTTTAGGTACAACAATATAATAATATATAGGTAGAAAAATTAAAAATATTATAATAGAGAATCATCTCATGACAAAAGTGACGTTCCCCACTTATCTTGACATCAACTTGCAAAACATTATCTCATACATAATACATATAAACGATTATCACGTCTCTATTCAACTGAAAATACACAATTTTAATATTTTCTTTACAACTAGAAATATTTTTTTAGTTTATCTATGAAAACTTGTAAAAACTATTTTGAAAAATCATAAATTTAAATGTACCGGATTATAATTTCTCCGTCTCGGTCACTCTTGACGGCCGGTCGCGCGCATTGTCCTTACAGTTGATTACGTTTACCGACCGGTATATACAGAGTAGTGACTACACAGAGATATAGAGATATTGCAACACTTTTTATTATACACGGATATGTCTTCGCCTACACATTCCAACGATGCTCAAGACATAAGTTTTACATCACTTACCGATGGATCACCCGTAAATTGCGTGACAACTAGAAGAACTCGTGTTGACACGGAAGGTGGTCTTAATCCATTGTTAAAGGAACTACGTGAGTTCAAGGAGTCAATGGTTAACAAAATGGACAAATGGTTCGCCAGACAGGAAAATATGATATCCAAGGTTGTAAAGGAATTCAACGAAGTTAAGCAAACAATGAATCAAATGTCAAATTATTTTGACGAACTAAACAACAAGACCACGGCATGTCTCAACCGTCTAGCTGAAACAGAAAAGAAGGTAAAAAGTCTAGAAGAACACACTAAAACCATAACTCAATTGGAAGCGAAAATTGAATCAATGGAGCAACATTCACGTCAGTGCAATGTAGAAATTCAGAACGTACCTGAGAGACGTAATGAAAATCTAATAAAAATAGTTGAACACATCGGAACGTCTATTAAGCAAAGCATAAGTCCGAATGATATAGTATCTGTACACCGAGTGCCTCATGCTGATACAAAGAGCACACATCCTAAAAGTATTGTCGTAAAATTATGTTCCCGGATTCTGCGTGACAATATACTGTCTGCTGCTCGAATGAAGAAAGGTTTATACACAGATGACTTGCATATTAATGGTGAAAATCGCAGAGTTTACGTAAATGAACATCTTACATTACGAAACAAACAACTTTTTAGAAGTGCTCGTGAAACTGCTAAAAGGTGTAATTTTCGCTTTACCTGGATTAAGCATGGTAACATTCTTGTGCGCGAGTGCGAAACATCCCGAGTTATTGCTATCCGTTCGTATGAAGACTTGTCTAAAATTAAATCTTCTAAGTCCTCCTAGTAAGTTAAATAAAAAAAACACATCACGTATTAGTTGTTACTGTTATACTACTCATTAAAAAATATTATTGCTTGCCACTATGTTTACACGAATTGCTCTGTCCTGTTAATTACTCTGTGCAAATGTTTTTAAATTACCTTACATTTTTATTGGTATTGTGTTTATTAAATAAGTATTTACATATAGTTTTACTCCATAATATCAAATATTTATTCGTAATTTATCATTTATCTATAATATTATTATATAACACTTATATAAAGTATGATATTTATATTTACTATACACTATATTTTGTACTTCATAATAAAGTCTATAGTGGTTACGTAATGAAACGATTGATTTCTCGATGCGGGAATAACAAATTCATATTCAATTTACTGATTAATTCTAATAAGTTATATTCTTATACTATAACTTCGTTTTACTATTATTATTGTTTAATAACAATGATTTACCAAGCTTCCAAAGATACGTTATCTTTTTACACAAACACGTTAAATTGCAAAATAACGTATCTACTATTTTTTGATGTTTACAATGTTCTTAAAATATATTCACCCATAATACGATATATCTTAAACATAATATGTGAATATAATACCAACATCTTATACACAATATGCAATATTATTCGAATTCACAGGTAATTTATCATTTTATTATCAAAATTGTGGTGGAATAAAAACCAAACTAAATACCATTTATATGAACATCTTAACTTATTCTTATGATATTATCGTATTAACCGAAACATGGTTAATTCCTAGTATTTCAGATAGTGAATTTATAGACAGTAGGTATATTGTATTTCGATGCGACCGGGACCGTGCCGCCACAGGTAGGGAGGAGGGCGGCGGCGTGTTAGTGGCCGTGCGCCGCGAGCTGCGGCCCGTGCGCCGCGCGTTGCCGGGGCCCGTGCCTCCTATTGTCGATTGCGTCTCTGTTGAGGTACCGAGCGCGTCCCGAGGTAAGAAATGCATTGTGAACGCAGTATACATACCACCTAATCAATGTTCGAATACTTACGTCGTATATCTCGACTTAGTTTGCGACATAGTGTTGTGTGATAATGTAACTGAGCATTTTCTAATAGGAGATTTTAATCTACCTAGCCTTGAGTGGGAAGTAAATAATGGTCTTTGTTTACCTTCTATAAGAAATGATACTGTATATGCTGGTAAATATCTTGTGCAAATCCTCTCTTTACTGAATGCCACTCAACATAACATTTACAAAAATAATTTAAACCGTACTTTGGATTTGTTCATATCGAACACTGATTGTACTTGTCTGACGCCTACATCGCCTCTGTCTCCACTGGTGCAGCACCATCCATATTTCTATATTCTCAGCAAAATAACTACGGCACTTATATCTATTCCAAGACAACCACGAATCAAATTGTGTTTTGCAAAAGCTGACTACATAAATATTAATGAAGCTATTAATAAAGCAAATTGGTCTGACATTTTAATTGGTTCTATTAACGAAATTATAAATATATTTTATGAAAAACTATTCTCAATTATAAAGTTGTTTACACCGGTCAGCGTAATAAAAAACAGTAATTCTCCATGTTGGTTTACCCCAAGTCTTCGACGGATATTTAAGGCTAAAGATAAAGCGTGGGTAAAGTGGAAAAAGTATAAAAATACTGCTGATTATGAACTCTTCTCCATGTATCGAAGCAGATTTGATACGGAAAGTAAAAAGTGCTTTGACAATTACATATCATTTACGGAACAAAGTTTAATTAAAAATATAAAATCCTTTTGGAATTACATGTCTAGTCTTAAAATCAAACCGGGAATACCGACAACAATGACCTATATGGGTAATTCATCAAGCGACCCTGAAATGATATGTAAAATGTTCGCGCATTTCTTTCAATCTGTATATGAGCCATCTACACTTAATATAGAAACATGGGAGTCATCAGTAGGTGATACCAACTCTAGTAACAACAATATATGCTCTTTATATTTTTCTGAAAACGATGTCTACAGGGTGTTAAGGGCACTAGACTCAAATAAAGGTGCTGGACCTGACTCCTTACCGCCTTTGTTCATAAAGCTTACCGCGGATACACTATGCATTCCACTTACAATTATCTATAACAAGTGTATGCAAGAAGGTATTTTTCCTGATTTATGGAAGATGGCGCATATAACACCCGTTTTCAAGAGTGGAGACAGAGACAATATTGAAAATTATCGACCGATATCGATTTTGTCCACGCTAGCGAAAGTCTTCGAACGATTAGTACACGCCCAATTGTACCCTCTTGTGCATAATGATATCTTACAGGAGCAGCATGGATTTGTACAACAGAAATCTACTACTACTAATTTATTGTTATATGCTACTTACTTGTTTGAGAATATGGACAACAGGGTGCAGGTGGATGCTGTGTACACGGATTTTCGCAAAGCATTTGACAAAGTGGACCATGAAATCCTTTTAAAGAAATTGGCCTTCAACGGCGTAAGAGGTAATTTATTGAGGTGGTTTGCTTCGTACATTATCAACAGGTCTCAGAGAGTCGTAGTTAGAGGCTTTGAGTCTGATACTTTTATTACATCCTCCGGCGTGCCACAGGGATCTATACTTGGGCCATTGCTTTTTACAATCTTTATAAATGACATAAACCAATGCT